ATATATATAAATATATATGTCTAATTTATGAATAGTGTTGTCACTTCCCACCTAACTCTTTCTGAATAAGAGCTGGTTTTACTGTTAGCTGAATGTGGAATAATCTCCTTGTTTTTAATCTTGTTTTGATATGTCTGAGTCATGTTATCAGGCTGGTCGCTGATCCATGGTTTGTTTAGTAACACCTATGACATTTCTTTGTGCCAAAAAGGAAAAAAACAAAAAGAAAAGAAAAGATAGTGGTTTGCTGAACAGCAACAACAAAACCTTAATGCTTTATCTTTGTGTTTTCGGCAAATAAAGAATTCAATAAAATCAATTGTTCCTGGAGGGTAAAATTCACCAGGCCAAGCTCAATGAATTGTCAGATCATTTACCTCTACTCTGGATAGTTGTGAACATCATTAAATGCTATGTTGGGTGGGATGGGAAAGATGTGGCTTCTGCCTTTTCTAAGTCCAAAGATGGATAGTCAAAACAGTGATACTGGTGGAAGTTAATTGTGTGGTTGTTAAGTGACAAAATCTGAAAATAAGGGCTATTCCAGGATCCATATGCATTTTAACTCTATACCATTTTTATTTTAAGTAAATTAAAAGTAGTTTGGCTGATCTAACAAAAACAGCTATTTTAAGTAAATGAGAAGTGGTTGGTGTAACAAGAATAATTATAACTATGAAATGCTGAGAACAACTCAGTATTCTATGTTTATTATTATTTATTTGTTTAAAATATTTATACCATACCTTTTTCCTCAAGAGGATCCAAGACACCTTACAATATTAAAAACAAAAAATTAACAGGGGAGAGGAAAAACTAAACAACAAAAACAGCTGTCCAATTATTTGGCAGACAGCCACTGAGAAAAAGCCTATATGAAGAGAAAGTTTTTCCTCTCAAACTCCCCACACAAAGACACACACTCGAACCAACAAGTACATAAAGGGAGGATTTCTAGCTCAGTAGGAGAGTTACTTCTATATGTGCAATAGCCCAGGATTAATCACCAGCATACACAGCTAAAAGGATCTATGGTAGTAGGGTTGGCAAAGATCTCAACTTGAAGCACTAAGAACTCCTGCCAGCCAGGTGGGACAGTACTGAACTGAGGGACCAGTGATCTGATTCATTACAAAGTAGCTTCATATGTCCGTTTGTTAAACTCTGTCTCCCCCCACCCCCCAAATTTGTTCTGTCACTCTTGAAAATCTGAGTTCATCTCTGTTCAACTGAAGTTGTTAGGGGCAGTTGTGCCACAAGGCCTTAGGGACACATTTATGCTGCAATTTTGAAACAGATTCTAGCCTGCCTTGTTGTCTTGGATCTCGTCAAAGGAATCCTGGGTGTTGAACTTCTAAGAGGACTGTAATTCTCTCAGAAAGTACTCCCAGCAGCTTCCTACTAAAATTGCTATGTGGTTATTTGTGCAAGGTCATGATATTACCCAATGCTGAAATCACTTTTCAGAAACTGTGCATCTACATTACTTTTTTTTAAAAAAATGGTTTAATAGATATTTCTTCTCCCCAAAAGTTCTTGGATGTGAACAGTACTGTTGTCATAAAAGCATAAGAGCTGCACTGCTTCCAGCTAAACACACATCTAATCTAATATTATTTTTGCTTATGTTGACCATCCAGGAACCCCTCAAAACAATATGTGAGGGCAACAACTCTTTCCCCCTGTTGATAATCTAAACTGAAGTTAGCCAATACTTCATCTAATCCTTTGTTGAAGACTATATAAACAGCTGTGTTGGATCAAATCAAAGGGCCATTTAGTGCAAAGTTCTGTTCACACAGCAACCAAACAATTATTTTTGAGTGCAATACTAACCCCACACTCTATTTATGGCCCTTACCAACCGCTACTGAGACAGATTGCTTCTATTACTGGGGGTAATGTAAAGTCACCATAGCCAGTAGTTACTGATAGCCTTATTCTTCATGAATTGGTCTAATCCTCTTCCAAAGTTATTGAAGTTGCCAGTTACCACTACGTTTTATGGTTGTAAATTCAGAGACCTGTCTGTTGAGAATCCACTGCTTAGCCTGGATGACCCCAGATTCTAGATTGATGAGAGAGTTAGAGAAGTCCTATCCAATTTCAGCACATAATACATTATTTTAAATGTGTCTGCCATGTTTTCTCTTACCTGTCTTCTTATAAGCTGGAAACACTGTAGCCACGTGTCATAGGTCAGTTTCTCTAGCCTCATTTTGGTTGCCCTCTTGTGAACCTTCTGAGGCTCTACAATTTCCCGTTGTCATTGTTAAGCTCCAGTAAGCTGATTCCATTCTGGCTGAACTGCAGTCTATTTTGTAAATACCAGCTCATCTCAAATTATTCCATACTGTCTAGCATGTCTAAATCCCTCTTTAAAACTCATACATTGTAACCTAATTTTGCTTTCTAAATTCTCATAGCTATCTGCTAGTATCATTGATGCCACTGTGCGTCATGACCTTTTAGCCCAGTGAACCTGTGGAATATCTTCCATCAGAGTATGAGTTCAGGAAAAATCAGGAAAAGGCCTCATGGTTGTGGAAACAATACAAACCAGGTGATACCTTTAATCGACCATTAAGAATATAAAACATCATGCAAACAATGAACTTTCAATGATAAATCATCTTCAAAGATATGAATCAGGTTTTTGTGAGTAGTTCCAAACTTATGTGTTGTTATTAATGTTCCAAATTCACGTGGTATAGAGACCAAGTTAGCTTAGATGGAAATTGCAACATGCATGTTGGTTTCAAACTTTTCCTCAGCTAGCAGTTTGGAATTTATGGCCCATCTCTTAAAACGGGACAGTCACAGGCAGTGGTTAAACTGCTGTACTGCAGCCAAAACTGCTCATGACCCGGGGTTCAAATCCCAGGTAGCCGGCTCAAGGTTGACTCAGCCTTCTATCCTTCCGAGGTCGGTAAAATGAGTACCCAGCTTGCTGGGGGGGCAATGTGTAGCCTGTATAATTAACTTGTAAACTGCCCAGAGAGTGCTTGAAGCGCTATGGGGCGGTATATAAGCAGCACGCTTTGCTTTTGCTTTGCAATCTGAGCCCCCACCTCTTTCTCAGTTTCTGGCTTTTTGAAACTCAAAGAGTTTCTTTTTAGCTGGGGGAGGGAAGACTACCCAGTTAGCATTGCCTGCCTGTAACAGAGTTGTGATCAGGAATTTAGTTAAATGATCAGAACAGTAAATTTAAGACAGATTAATGCCAAATAAATAGTTTTACCTGGTAGATCCTTTCCTTAGCATGTAGTACTTGCTTGTACGTTGTCAAGAATCCATGATTTTTGAGAACTCATGCTGGTGTTCAGTTGATGACTTGATTGGCCATTCTGTGGTATCTTCCAGTTTAAAAAAAAAAATAAGAAAAGGCAACATGGTTGTGGAAACAATACAAATGCAGGAGCAGGTGATAATATGAGTATAAATGTACCTTCTATCTTGCTTCCCCAGCTACTGTTGCAAAGCAGCCTACCACCTCTGAAATTGAAGGTGATATTGATAGGCATCCTGATTAGCACCATTTGTGTTCCTAATCTTCAGAAGCACATCTATTAGTCCCTTGAAGCTATTCATATTGGCATCTTGTGGACATGAATGCCACAGTTTTAACTCTGCTGTGCAAAGAAATACGTACCTCCTTTATCTCTCCTAAATCTGCCACCATTCAACTTCAGTTGATGGCCCTTGGTTCTAATACGAGTGAAATAAAAACTTCCTGTTTACTTCCATCACACCATTCATAATTTCAGTCTGACTTGGTGTTCTACTTATGCATCTTTTTTTGATACACCAGACTTTTCCAGTATCTTCCCCAAACTCTGCCTGATTGAGTTCCCCAAACTCTACTGATTAGTCCCTGAAATTTCCAGGTTCCACCCCCCCACCACATCCAGGCGACATAAGGCTTTACGTCATGTTTGGTGGCAAAAAGTAACAGAAACCAAAACTTTCCAGAGCAAAATGTACCTCCTATAAAGCAAAATTTATTTATTTTCTCCCCCCCCCCCGAGGAGCAACATTTAGCATGATGATGTTTTTCAGTTCATTTCTAAGATCAGAGCTTGTTTGGAAACTTTCAGTTACTTATGTTTTTGTTTTTGCCTATCCAGCAGCAAGGAATTGGGGTTATAAAAAGAAGCAGAAGAACTGCATTTAGCTTGTGTTCTGTGGGAGGTCTCCCTCTTCCCATTATTTAAATCCTATGGATTTTGTGTGGGGGTGTTCTCTGTAAACATTATAGCATTACCCTTTAAAAAAAAAAACTGATAGAGGGGAAGATAGGAACATAAAATAATTCCTTTCTGCCTTGTACCTCTCCTCTTCACCTTGGATTTTTTAAAAAATGTGAACCTATTCTATGAAATACTGTTTTGTTAACAAGTAGAAGCTTGCGGACAAAATACAGTAAAACAGTAAGATGCTGTAGAAATTAGCTCCATCTAGAAGAGGTCTGCATAATAGCCCGTCAATGTAGAGTTATATATAATTTTCATAGTACTATGTCAACCTGGTTTTGGCTACTAATTGTCGTTTTCTGCATTCTATGGTAGGTTGCAAGACCTGTAACATTTTGTAGGATTTTAGAAGTTGACTGGATGGGCATTCAGCCAGCTGCTTGGCCCACTGCAGGGATGGGGTGTTTTGCTCTTAAAGACGTCTTTGCTGGAGCAAACAAACCCACCCAGCAGAGCAATCCTACCGACATCATTCTGGCCCTAGTCCAAGGGCTTTCACTTTTTTGATGTGGGTAGAATCACCCTCTTTTGGTGCATTTCCTGCAAGTGTGATCACTTGGAATGAATCAAAAGCCTTCCTTTTTTTTATTTGCAATATCATGAAGTAGCTTACTAGAATCACTTTGGGATATTGGCTAATTAGAATACTTGGTTTCCTTTGTTTATGCACTGGGTGATAAATCCCAAAATACTGGCCTGGAGGAGAGGTTTGAAGTCACACAGAGTTCAA